GGGGAATATTTACATCTTGATCATCACTATTTAAAAGTAAAGTATTTCGTCTATTGTAATTCATAAAAACAATTTACCATATTCAAAGGAGCCTATAATAATAGCACATGCAGGTACAACTTTTACGAGTCTTGGTGTTAGTCCAGCAAACATGCCTTGACTCCTTTCTGGTCATATATACTTCTTATTATGGTGAAAGTATTTGCGCTTGGTTGAGGTTTTTGGGAGTAGATCTCTTTTTCTCCAATATCTATTTGTTGGTGGGTCTTAACAACATCAAAAGGCACAGTAAACAATGCTGATAAACATCCAGCAATAGCGCCTCCAACAAAATAAAAATATGGGGGAGAATCTGGAGAACACCAAATTCTTTTATAATTTTCATATGTGGTCCAATAGATTGCTGAAAATGGTACATCTCGCAGGAGTGTTGCTCCGAGTCCTTTCCATAGTCCTTTGGGGCCTTGATTTTGAAGGAGGTGCTGAAGAGCCATTCTTAGTTCATCATAACTTAATTTTTTTGATTGCATTTTGGTTCTTACTAATTCTAGTGGACTAACACACATAGCTGATATAACTCTTGCTGATGATCCAGCCAATAGTGGAACCCACCCAGGGGTTTCATTTACATCTTTAGATAAAAAATATGTTTTATCTCTGTACTCATCAACTTGACTTTTAGTTGTTCATAGAGTACAAAGTATACCACAGTTGCAGGCACAGCTAATACTAGTGTTGGAGCCAGGCCGGACCATAAAGTGCTTAAGCCTTCAGCTTTTGATATTTTTATAAAGGCATCTACTGTACCGTTAAAGCTTTTACCTGGATTTATTCTGGGGCCAGATGGTGGGTTACATGGACATAGATGTTCCATTAGGCCGTTACAGAATAGAAAACATTTGTTTGATATTGGTTTCTGTTGTGCTTGCATTCTGATTTTGATGACATCTAAAGGAGTCATAAATAATGAAGTTATAAGGGCTCCACAACATGATGCTGCCATTTGTTGTGTCGGCGTACTTGCGAATGCTAGTTCCTCCAATTCTAAATTCGATTTGGTTCCCATTTTTGTCAATGCACATTTATTACAAATTGTCGGCTTTTGAGACCTTGGGTGTTATGTATACGAACCTGTTACACGTCTTTTCTTAAAACTCAATTTGAACGATACTGAACTTTGTAAAATATTTGTTTACAAACATTATGATTTAATTTCTTGAAGATTTTCATCATCATATACTTGCCAATTTTAATACGAATGCCGCAATTTTACTATAATTATAGGTTAACTTGTTTGATTGACGTCACTAAATGTTATGAAGTTGGAGCATTTAAGTGCAAATACCAATATAGAAAAATTATTGTAATTTGATCGTTAAAAATCTGTCAACTTGATTTAAATGTCAGTCGGTAATATTGAATTTTAAGAACCCGATAGTATTTTTAAATTCTTTGCAGTTATGATGCCGTTTCTTTAATTTAGCAGAGCCATGCATTAAGAATACAATCATTATATTCTTTCTAGTTTTTAAAATATTTTGTTTAAGAATAATCTAAATTTATATATCATAAAACAATGGGTGTTCCATGCTTATTTATCTATAGGATGCATAATAAACCATAGGTGCATATGCTTATTTATTAATGGGGTGCTCTGCTCCAGGGCAGGTCCATGAGCTGACTCCAATAATCCAACTCCAATTCGAATCAGGAAAGAATAATGGAAGAGCTTTTCCATTGTCATTTTACACTGCAGTGCCTGAAATGTGCTATTTTTAATTGGAAACGTATCTTTATCTATATTTTTAAATAAAACTCGATATCACTACTACATAATATCAAGTTTCTAAATTATTCATTACTTAAGAATTCTTGAATATACATATTTTTTTCATATTGTTATATTTATCATACCAATTAGATTCTGCACAATCTTACAGAACATAAGTAAAACTATTTTGTATCACATCTATATTATGATCCTTTTAGATAAATAAAACAAAATTTTATTTTAGCATGTTCTCCACCAAAAATACGCCGAACTGGTCAACATGTTAATAGTGCTTCATCCCTATCGCCCACCAATAAGCTACTTCAAAATTTAACTTTAGACATACAGAATGGAAATGAGAAAAATGATGAACTTGATGGAAGATTACAAATAGCTAGGTAAAATTTTAAGTATTTTAGTAGGTTGTTGAGCATGGAATACATTAATGATATTCATCATTGCAATCTGGTGATTATTCTTATATTAATTATAAAATTCAATTTAGGCAAGCATTACATAGTACAGCTCCTATTAACCTACCTGGCCGTGAAAAGGAGTTACAGGAGTTAGAGAATATAATAAACACAAGTTTGAAAAAAGAGACTTCAACATCCTTGTATGTTAGTGGCCCCCCAGGAACAGGAAAAACAGCTTGTTTAACAAATATTATACAGAAAGTAAGCTTATTTTATAAACTATTTTGAAGGATATATATCCTTCTTCTATTTTATATTAATTACATATTGTTTTATATTCATACATTTATATCAAATAATTTCTTTTAGTATAAAAATAAATTGAGTATAGTTTATGCAAATTGTACTGGGATTAAGAATTCTAAAACAATTTTTGAACGTATAGCCACTGAATTAAAACTCAAGTGCAAATCTACTGAAAAAGACTACAAGTGCGCTATAGAGACTTACATTCAATCAAAACATAAAATGATGTAAGATACTTATGGTATAAATTTATATTTTTTAAATAAGCAAATATATATGTAAATATTCTTGTTTATTATTAGACTTCTGATTTTGGATGAGATAGATCAATTGGACAGCCGTAAACAAAGCATTTTATATACCATTTTTGAATGGCCATCATACGCTTCATCAAAGCTAATACTCATTGGTATTGCTAATGCTCTAGATTTAACTGATAGAATATTACCACGACTGCAATCAAAATGTGAATTAAAACCTCAGCTTATGCACTTTGCACCTTATTCAAAAAATCAAATAATAGAAATATATAAACAGAGACTAGAATCAAGTGGAGTCACTGATGTATTCAGTCCTATGGCTGTGCAATTGTTGGCAGGAAAAGTAGCTGCTGTGTCAGGAGATGCAAGACGTGCATTAGATATTGGAAGACGTGTAATTGAGTTGACAGAGCAACAGACATGTGTTGAAAAAGAAAATTTACATAAACAACCTGCAGGTAATAGATTTTAATATAAAATTCATACAGATTGCTCAATTTTTATATTTTCATATTCAAATGAATCACAATCTCCATAATTTAAATTTTATTCATTTTAGTTGGTGTTGAATTAGGTCAAGTAGTATCAGTGTTGAAGAATGTCTATTCCACCCCGCAGAGTCTCAATGACAAAACAGAAGAAAACGAACAAACTGAATTGCCAATTCAACAATGTATATTAATTTGCTCTTTATTATTAATACTTAAAAAATCTTCAAACCGTGATGTTACTATTGGAAGATTACATGACATTTATAAAAGAGTATGTACTAAACAAAATATTATGGCTGTAGACCAGACTGAATTTGTGGGGCTGTGTTCTCTTGTGGATTCTAGAGGCATTATCAGAATAAGTGGTAAAAAGGAACCAAGATTACAGAAGGTAAAATTGCAGAAATATAAAAAGTTGGTTCTTTTGTTACAACCAGGTTGTGTGTTACAGGTTACTCTCCAATGGGACGAGGAAGAAATTAGTTCAATCTTCCATGACAAGCAATTAATGGCATCTATAATTGCAGATATTTCCTGTTTAAAATAGTTTTGTATGTCATTTTAATTAATAGTTTACCTAATTCTTATTTAATGTTTTTATGATATAACTGAAATAATTTAATGTTTAACTATTTTAATTATTTATAATGTACATATGCGTGTTTATATTTTAATTGGTCAAATTATATGCAGTCTCATGATTATTTTAAATTCATTTACTTATTTTTAATTTTATGTTGATATTGTTTATCTAAAACATTTTACATATTGTTTATCTACAAACATTTTTTCATATACCTTTCAATGAATTATCTTTTATCTAGTATATATTAAATTACTATTTACAATATATAAATGCATTCAACTCATATTAAAAACCTTCATATTTTCTTTTTCTTAATGTAGTCATTTTAGCTTTTGCAACAGGTTGAGAACTAGTAATTAATGGTTGTGCATTATGATTTGGTAATATTGGTTGAGACATGAAATTAGTAAATGAAGTAATTTGTGAAATATTTTTGTCGTATACATGTTCACTCAAGTTACTTTCTGCTACAGAGGAATTTTCCAGCCAAGCCGAAACCTTCTCCTTTGTTGAAGCTTCACTTGTTTCTAATTGTGATGGAATATTATCAATTGGTCCTGACACTAAATTCCATGGTGCTAAAATATCTTGTGCAAGAACATCTTTATACTTAGTGAGCTTATCAAGAGGTCTTCTCCATTTTTCATTTTGGGTTTTTTTAGTTTTTGGCATCTCCTGTATATCAGCTTTCAAAAGATTAAATACTGGTTTCATGTTTATTATGTTTGTGGCAAACAATGGTGGTGCAGTTTTGGATTTTAAAAGAGACCAATTAGAAAGTGAACTATGTGCATATTCATTGCAAAATGCCTCAAAGTTTGGTCGAATTTCTTGTTGAAATATATCTGTGAAGGAATTTTGCCATATTATATGAAGAGATGTATTATTTGGTATCAAAGCTAAACCTGCATTGCAAGATTTGATTCGTTTCGATAAATATTTATCAGGTTTTAACATTTTACCCTGTAGCTGGCTTGAAATCAAAGAATCAGCAACTGTTGGTGGCTTCCAAGGTAAGTGAAAAGATTGAGCTAATATGTCATTTAAACATTTTTTGTCATCATTTTCATTATGAGTATTGACTATCAATCTTAATTCATCATGTAGAGGACTAGCCAAAATGATTATTTCCTTATTATCTTGAATTCCAACATCCATCAAATGCGGTGTTGATTTCATACCATGGGTCCACCTTTGCAGAGGTTGAATCTGATTGAACATTCTCACATCATAAGAAAATAAATTATGATTTCCTGCTACATAAAGGAGATTTTTGTGAAATGCGCTAAATTTGAAAACAGACATCTCTTCACATTTGTCTTTTTCTGGTTTGTAAATACATATTTGATTTTCATCTGCCCTCAAATCTACAGAATAAATATTATTTCTGTTTACTGCAAATACTATATTACTTTCAAAATACTTTACTGATAACCATTTATCTAGCAAATCTTGCTCTCTCTCCAAACTCAGAACATTAAGTTCTTTCATTATATTCAGATCATACACAGTGATAGCACTGTCAACATCAGCTAATGCAAAACTTTGTTGACTAAAACTATCAATACATGAACTTGTAAGAGATTCTGTTTGTGTAATATCATTCATTCGTTTGATTTGATAATATGTATCATCTGCTACTACATTAAATAATGAATAAGTTTTTTTTTGTCTAATGCCAAGTATTATGTTTTCTTTAGTTCTGCAAGAATTAATTTGAAAGATTGGTTCAGCATGTTTTAATTTTTTTGTGCTTGGCCTTAATGTACTGTGATATTCATACCCTGTGGGACATCGTTGAATAGGAGTTACACCTAGATAAAATAAACTTAGTTATAATTTAAACATGCATTAAAAATATTTAAATTTTTTGCATACATAATTGAAATAGATAAGTCTTATCAAGTAATTTATGTAAATTAACTATAGTGAGTTGCAAGTAAAGAAAATAATGCTGTTGAATAAATTAATTTTTTAATCTACAACTAATTTTAACAGTTTTTTGAGACTGTTTTAAACTTTAATGCTTAGTATATAGAAGACAATTCTTATAATGAATATTTTGATTAGAAGTATTATACCAAAGAAACTAACAGATAAAGGTATTTTATACAAAATTTTCTGATATATAATACTTACTTATTTGGTTATCAAAAATAGATGAATTATGCAATAGTATATTTATACCATTGTCTTCTATTATATTTAAAGTTCCATCAGTATAATACCAATTATAAGTTGAATTAAAATTAACATCTGGGTCTGATAAATTAAATTCAGCATAATCAACTAGAAATTTTGCACACTTTGGATCTTTATCTTTGATCGAACACTTTTTAGCTAGTTCTGAAAACATACATGTTAAGAAATATTTCATAATCATACAATACTATTTAATAAAAAAAATACCTTTATCTCTTTTCCAAACATTAAGAAATTTTTGTTTATTTTTGCACCACAGGCTTTTTTCTTTAACAATTTTTAAGGCAGGATCTTCAATGTAATTTGCATGAGCAGTATCGAAATTCTCTGACACAATTAGAGGAATAGGCAAATTTGCTTTGTATGGATAGTCGGCAAAAAGTGAAGAAACAGCATTTGGATTGTAAGAATTTATGGATGGAATTTTGTGTAGATTGTGGCCTAAAGATAACTCATGAGGATGTTTATTAGCAAAATGTTTATTCAATGCTCCGTTTGCAAACACATAAGCCACGTTTGATTTTAAAACTTCTGCAACCAGCTAAAATATAGACAATCAAATCAACAAATGTTTACAGTTATTATATATTATTATAGTAATACCTCATCCATTTTATTAATTTTTACACTGATTTTATAATAGTATGCTTAAGCTAATTTTAAGTATAATGCATTTTAAATAAATATTAATTATTATTTGAGAATTTAGTATATACTAGAATAAGTTATATAGGGAATATGAATTTATTATATTCTCATATTGTCTAGGTTATAAAGTATGAAAATCCAAACAATTCAGAGAACTGTCAGATTAGCATGTGCTCTAATATATAAATAAACACTCCCTTGTATATATTTTATAAATTCGTGACTTTTATATTTTTCAAACTAATAAACAATTAATAATTAAGGGGAGATAATTAAGTTATTTATATTAAATTATAACGGTAAGATATTTCTAAGAAAATTTTATTATTGATTCTACTCTTTTCAATACAAACGATGACAAGTTTTTTTCATTTAGAAATTATTAAATATAGCAACATCTTATTTCATATATCAATAAAATCCATTTACTTCAAACAAATTATGTTTCAATAATTTATGATTTTCAATTTGAAATTCGCGCTGTCTATCATTGCAATTTTTTAGCGGTGGCTACAAGTATAAATAAGCATGAAGTTGGCTACAAAAGCCTTAGGGCGGCGGCCATATTTCTTGATAGTTTTTGTGAATGGATTTTGTAACATAAGTAATAATTTATGAACTTTTTAATTATTGCATAATTGTAATTAATTAATGTATGCTGGTTTAATTAGCTCATTAGATCAAACTGATTGAAAAATGTAATTCGGTTGTACTATAATAACAACAAATGGTTGTTGAGGTTGCTTATCGGCATCATAGCTTATAATTAATACATTTCATTTACAGGGCCTTCAATTCTCATATATCTCATAATCAAAATCCACATTTACAGATTTCACTGTATCCTTTGCTTATTTATATATACATTTGTCGATTGCCAAATATGTAATTTATATATGATGCATGCTTCTGACGCCGATAAGTTTTTTTTCTTTTTTAAAGTCGCCAAATTCATTCACAATAGTCTCAAATATGTGCATTGCGTTCTGTGTTGAGAAAAGACTGCACTCGAACATTTGCAAATTATAAATTAAGTGTATAAAATGTAAGAAGTGGTGTGGTGTAGTGATTCAATTAAATGTTTAGATTCGTGTGGGGCTTCTAGTACCTGCTTTGGAGGTTTTTCTTCAATGTGAGTCCAACCAATTTTATACATAACATGTCAATAAATGCTTTGTTGGAATCATGTACAGGCACATTTATCGTATAACAAATAATATACTAAAATTTGTTGAAATCAGCCTGTATGTATTTCAGTGAAATATTTACTGACTTGTGCATGATTAGTAGTTTATGCACATGCATCTGCTAATAAAAAGGTTTATTTATTAATTTATTTAATTACATAGTAATGTCGTTGCAACAGAGACTTCAAGCTTCATTTCTTGTTCTATGTTATGGTATATATTTTAGTTAATTTAGTTAGTAAAGACTTATTTATGACATATTAATTTAATATTCATCTTAACTATTAATCATTGTTTTTACAATTCTAGCAACAAATAAGAAACATATTATTTTCAATTACTATAACTTACCTTTCGGGAACATTTACCACAACTGTATAAAAAATTTAATACAACTACTTTAGCAGATGTATGTGTAAAAATGTCGAATATCACTGGCAATTTTGTTAATCAATCTGCAAAAAAACATTTGATAATGTTGTAAATGATTCAACAAATATTACATGCACTTTGTTTAGTTATTAAATTGTCAAGTGGTACTCGATAAGTGTGTTGCTTTTATTCAATTCCTTATGGGGAAAACATCGTGATTCATTTTTTTAAATTCAATTAAGCAAATGCAATTTATAAATTGATTAAATTAATATAATACAATATTTTTTATTTTTTGTTTGTTTCAATTTTTATTGCAATGACATGAAATGACCATTAAGAATATTTTATTTTTCTATAAACGAATATGATCTGTAACTTCCGTAAATGTTCCACCAAAATATTAAGTCTGTGGAATTGTAGACTTTGTAGAATTGTAGATATTTCAGATTGAAAGTTTTGAAGAATCTGTCAAATAGCATTTTAATATCTAACATACTAAGATTTCTTTCTATAATTCTAACTAGATACTAAATTTTATTATAAATTTAA